TGGGCCATATAAGCGCCGAGAGCTTTCGCGTGTTGCGGTGAAGCGAGCGAGAGGGCGAGCGGAGTTGGGAGTGAGCGCTCCCCTATAAAAAGGGCGACCCGCGCCGTGCAATCGCCACGTTAAGTTGCCGGGAGCTCGCAAGCAGCCACCATGACCACGCAGCCCACCCAGACGAACATGAGCAACAGCAGCAGCATCGGCAATGGCTCCACCGCCAACAACATCACCTGCGCCCAGGAGTCGCCAAACTCCACGGCCATCTTTGCGCGTAATGCATCCCACACGCGCTCACCCACCCAACCATCCACACGGTTACCCACCCAACCACCCGCTCACCCACCCACACGCTCACCCACCCACACGCTCACCCACCCACACGGTCACCCACCCAACCACCCGCTCACCCACCCACCCACACGTTCACCCACCCATACGTTCACCCACCCACACGTTCACCTACCCACCCACACGCTCACCCACCCAACCACACCCTCACCCACCCACCCAACCACCTGTTCACCCATCCACCCACCCACACGCTCACCCACCCAACCACACGCTCAACCACCCACCTAACTACCTGCTCACCCATCCACCCACACGCTCACCCAACCACACGCCACCTACCCAACCACCCGCTCACCCACCCCGTGTCTCGCCAGTTCGCGGTGTTCGAGCAGCTTTGACGGCGGCAATAGGCACATAATTTGTGTAGTTCGGTGTCGGGCAGGGCTAACGGGTTGTGTATCATCAGAGTGTGCTTGTGTGGAACAGTTCATTACAAGGTTTCGTGTACGTGTCCGCAGGGGAGCGCAAGCGCAGCGGTTAGCGAGCCGCCTGACGAAGCCGCCAGACGTCCCAGTTCGATCCCCGCTCACGGCCCACCAACACCCACCAGTGACGATGATCTGAACAACCGGTCCTGGGCCTCCCCTAGGTAGACTCGGCCTCAAATGAATATCTCGACAGGCAAAGGCGGCCGGGCGTGGTGCTGGCCACCCACTCTCCCGTGTGCTGCTCGCTTAAGAGCACTTGCCCCGACAGTCTGTTAAAGGCTACACGGGTGATCTTTGTCTTTGTGTCGGCAGGACCGGTTAAATACGCGGTTTCTAAGGGGCACCGCGGCCCAATGCCTCATATATCCGGTATATACTATAGACTGTTTTATAAAGAGATCATATACAGTACCCTATAGATAAATAGGTTATGAAAGCCATAGAATATACGTGTATCACTATCAGTTATGTGCTGAACATTTCAATTCAATTGCTCTTTTTTGGATTTAATTTACCTTTACAATTTGTATATCACGTGAAAAAAAACTATAACTGCTGTAACCAAAAGTAAATAACAACGGAGTGTTTGGCATCCGGCACCGGTGGTGGTCGGGGCAAGAAATTGACTTCACAGAGCTCTCCCCATGATTGTGCCTATCCCTTGGGCCCTCCTGAGACTTAACCTAGCCCAGTCTGTCACTTAACCTAAGTAAACTTCCTCGTAGCGTGCGTGTGTGGTGGGGAGCGGTAGTGTAGCGGTTAGCGCTACGCTGCGCTATGAACCTGGCGACACGGGTTCGATTCCTGCTCCACGGCCAACACCAGTGAACCGGTCCCGAACCTCCCCCTAGGTCGACTCAGCCTCAAATGAGTACCTGGTGCGGTGTGTAAACATCGCCACTAGGGAGACAAAGGCGGTCGGGCGTGGTGCTGGCCACCCACCCCCTTCGTGTACCGTTCCGGCCTTCATAGTTGCTCGCTAACAGCACTTTCCCCTACAGTATGTTGTGCTAAACACTCTGGACACTTGTGTGGTATGTTCGGAATAAATATTTCCTAAAGTTCCCCATCTTGTGATTTTCTAATGTGTCGCTGTCCTCCTTGCAAGTTCAGCGTGAACTGCAGGAAACGTCGCGAAGGAACTTCATAAATAATTCCGCACGATTGAGCTAAAGATGAAAAAAAACACACGAGCCGAAAAAAAAAAGGTCTCGTGTGAAACAAGTTGGCTCAGAAGATAATTGTTGGAGGGATGTAACTTTAAACACACAATACATTATGTATGTCGGCCCTGTGGTCTCTATGCACTGTGATGTAGGGCCATTGTCCATTACGCACTTATCCTTTCAAGGCAGTGTTATTGATTATTGTGTCGAGTTTTTTTGTTATTTGTGCACCGTTGCCAACGTAGTATCGCCAAGTAATTTGTGTAACGGTGACGGTGAAATGAAATCAATTTGATGAAATAGACGCGAGTGAGAACACGTTTGTAAAAGCAACTTACCCATGTTGCGAACAAAGCAAGTTTGAAATCAACGCATTCTTAGCTGCTACACACCTGTCAACCCATACGGTTTACCCGTATTCTTGTACAGGGAATTTGAGTTTTCAGGTTCATACGGCGTACAGCCGTTTCAGAACGGGCAATTTTTTTGTCTTTGTATTTCTCACTTTGTAGGATGATGGTTGAGATTTATAAGGGCACGGGGTGACCAATAAGGTCTGAATTGGTCTGTAATAAGGTAGGCACTGATAAGGGGTTGACAGGAATGCTTCTATGACATGTATAAAACACAGACGCTGACAAAAAAACTTTTGGAAAATGCACACAGAATGTGTAGGGAGATGCATGCTAGAAAAAAATCAACTGAGAGACAAAAGGAGAGGAACTCAAGTGTAAGATAACAAATGCAATTTAGAGATGTAGTGACTTGAAGAAAAAGTGCGCTTGGCAAAGATATTGCTAGAAGAGATGGTTAGCTAATGGACCAGACTCATGATGGAAGTTCAGCCAAAGAAGGGAACACATCCCCGAAGGACAACCATTGTGGAGATGGAATGATTAGATGAGCTGACGTGCAGGAATGAGACGGATTGTGGAATCTCAAGACCGTGTGGGATCATTCGGAGCTGTTCATAATGATGAGTTGTGTGTGTTCACAGTTGTCAAGGGACACACCATCAACATTTTCATGTTCATCATCCTGTCCGTGATGGCGTTATTCTGCGTTCTCATATACATCGAGAGGTCCCTGTACTTCACAAGAAAACCCATGAACCGTTCCCTCCGCGTTGCCAAGCTGGTGATCACAGGATGTCCTGCGGTACGTTACTCCTCATGCCAGGCCAAGCCCAGCGATGACGATCGAATCAAGAATCGTGCTCACTTTAGCTGATGCAGAATTTCCCAGCCCTCTTTTGCACAATTCACATTCGTATAAAGTACGAACAATGAAGCCTATAAACTTGAAAGTCACATGATCAGGCTACTAAACCCCTTGCTACCCTTGTGTGCATTACGAAATCACGTTTTGCAATGGCCTCTCAGAATTGTAAAGATGTGTTTTATAATGGAGGCTCAAAGGAGTTGTTTGCGTCAGATGGATGACTGACTGCTTGCTTAGCCCCGCACTCCAGTGACGTTCTTAATTTCCACCACCAATGTTTTCCCGTATGGGATTGCATTTAAAAAAAAAATTGTGAATTCTAAATATAATTTACTCGGGCGGTGGTGGCGGAATATGCCTTGACTCCAGTGCTGCGTCGTGAAATTCCATTTCCGTGGGTGTCGAGGTCTCCGCCGCACCTTGGCTCGCCAGGATATGTCAATAAAGCAAGTTGATCAATCTAAATCTATTTCCAACTCTTACAGGGATAGAGTGTTGCCCAACTTAGGTTTTCTCCGGGTACTCCGGTTTCCACCCACATGTAATAACGCTCATTCATTGGTCGATGACGCCTGAATATATTAGCGGACCGCAGAGCTTGGGCAATTGTTGGTGCTGGCTCACCGCTGGGCTACCTTTCCGCTTGTTGGTGGCTCCCCCCGCCCCCCCCCCCCCCCCCCCATGCCTCCGAGTCGTTCTCTCTCTCTGAGAACGAGCGAATATTGTGGCGGCTCGTTATTAGCCTAAAAGGTTATTATTGTACAGTATTCAGCATTTGTGTTATTTGTCCAGTGCTTTTTTTTACAGCACGCATCTCATGATAATTGTGTACGCTGCTGTATAATTTAGTTTCTGTGGTGATGATGCATAGATGAAGAAGGAAATGGATTTGTTTACTTTTACGACAATTACCCTGTGATGTTTCGGCTGGCCGAGTGAGAGCTCTCCATAATAATGCAAGTGTCAGTAATACACCTTTTTTTTAGTTGTATAAACAAACTCTTCACTTTTTATTTTCATGAACCCATCTGTATTTTGGCATAGTGTACACACTGTAGTTTAGAATACTGTAATGAAACAAACTAAATATTGTGAATATTTATAGAGTGTAGCAATTGTTGTTTTTTAATACTCTCACTGTCATCAGAGCCTTGAGACTTGGCGAGGCTATAGACTGTGTTGGAAAATAAAGGACATTCTTTTTTATATAAATGCGGTTAAACCAATTGACTCAACTGAGCGAGGGGTCAGTCCCACCCATCGTATGTCTAGAGCCGATAATACTCAAACCACTTTGTGGGGAGTTAACAAATGAGCGTCTTATGTGTACCTTAGGCCCCATCATAGGAATGCAGATTTTCCACTATTGGCTTAGGGATGTAAGTTGGAGATTAATGCCATTAATGACATTTTTTTTGTTTCAATACCTTCAGTTGCAATCCTCCTCACTGTAATCTATAAATAACAGAGAGGCCCCATGAAATAACAGTTAATTGTCAAGCTCATGATGTCATATCATTCGTCTAATGAAGTTCGTATTCTATTCGCCGCTGTCCAGGTGATTGCCTCTGGAGCCACCATCGCCATGTGGGTGCCCCGCGCGACGGTTTTCACCGAGTTCCTCTCGTCCGTGTAAGTTGTTCCCCCCCTCTTTACCGATCGCCTTCCTGTAACGCCTCCAGAACAGACCTCATCACAGCCAAGTGTATCGCCGATGCCACCAGGCCTCGCCAGATCTCGCCGCTGTGGCACAGCCGACGCCCCACATCAAAGGGGCACATCTTGAAAGTCTCGTCACAAATTGGGCTTTAGCTCATTCCCTTTGGTCACCAACCTATCGGCGCCACCCCAATGCCTCCCTTAGCAACTTGCCCTCTTCCATCCCGCAGGAGTGACGCACCCACCCGGACACACGTCGACAACCAACGATGCCTTCCTGCCGCGTCGTCTTCCAGTACTCGTGCGACATTAATGTCCTTCAAAGTAAAAATATTCATCTTCTCACGCGCCGTTATTCCCCCCTCCCTCCCCGCAAACAGTTACTTTGGCGTTTGCATATACCTGTTCGTGGAGCTCACCATCGTGTACATGGGGGGTACGAGCTCAATGCTGAGCAAGCTTGAGAACGAGTCCTTCCGCACGAGCACGGGGCCCTGCTGCTGCTGCTGCCTCTGTCTGCCCACCGTGGAGTTCAACAGGTGAGGCCGTCAAAACCTGCGCCACTGTTTGGCCAAATGGGCGATCCACGAGCGCTGGGCAAGAGGCGGGCAGGGGACCCGGTCGAGTTCAACGCGGGCCCAGAGCCTTTGGGCGTTTTGGGACATCTCTGTTTTGATATTGCCACTCAACTGACCGTCAATGCCAAACAATTAATGTTATTCGCCTCAGTTTTAAAATTTCGAGATTTTAACATACCAATTGTAATGCGATTTCAAATCCAAAATGGACACAACTATTTTAACATCGGCACATAACTGGCAGTAATGCACTTAGCGATGCTGCGATTTTAATTGCTGAATCTCACCTAAAGGGCACGTATGTATTGTAGTACTCCAGTATTGCGCCTCATCTATTAAAAGCAGTCTGTATGAATCAGTTTAACACGTAGGCTTTCGCGACCAATATTATTCATGATGAAGGTTTTTGCGTTACAATTGTAAATGTTGCGGATTTACTCTCCAACACACCGGTGGGCTTAAGTAGTAACTAATTGGCGCGTTGTTTACGTGACGAACCTTACTGGCTGTGTCGGGTGGTGGAGGTTTACAACACGCTTATACTTACGCGATATAACCCAAAAACCTTTATGAGTCTGTATGTATGTTGAATTTCTTTCTCACCGCACATAGCCAACCGTGCTAATCGGAGCTGCGAGGCTAGGGGCAAACAAACTTAACACAACAAGCAGTTCAGTTTATTTTTGGGGCCTCTCAAACTCAGAGGCCCCACGCTGCAGCCCCTCGAGCCCCCCACATTAATCGGGCCCCTCTAGAACTACTTTTTGTGTCTAATCTAGATTTGAAGTTTTCCGTGACTGCAGGGATTCATACTCTTTGAGTTCTTTCGGTAAAGTCACGCAGGTAAAAAAATAAAATAAATTAAATCACGACGTTTCGGGCGCAGCACAAGCGGCCGCCATCAGGTGGGGCAACCGCAGCAAGAAATCATTTGCTGAAGTGGGCAAAAGGGGCTCCTGTACCAAGAGGCCGTATAGGCAAGAGAAGGGGAGGGAGGAGCCAGGGAGGTTAGACAGGGAGGTTGGGGGTGTGGGGTAGGGGGAGTGGAGGCTACAAGTAAAACACAAGCATGTCTAGTTTGTTGTTCTTCCCCCACACCTCCGATGAGCACGGTTGGCTACGTACGGTTCGAAAGAAGTTCAACACACATTACGTATTCGACAAAGTCCCACCGTGTGTCGTTCTTCGATGTGTTTTCCGGTCGTGCCGCATGTTGTTCCGCACGATGTCCGACGTTTCATGCTCCACCTGTCTCATGCTCGCTCAGTGATATTTTAAATTGTCCTTTGCGTGGGTCACGGCCATGTCTCCTCACAGGATCAATATAAGGATTCTCCGGCAGATCGTCATGTACATTTTATGTGTGCGGCTCATCATTCTTTTCATCGGCAACGTCTTCGTCATCGACGGCCTCATCATCCCGGGCAAAGTGAGTGGATGGCACTGTATTCAGACCTACATTCTTTATAAAGAACTGAGCAGATTACCCTTAATGTGTTTTAAAATGAATCATTCAATCTTTATTTTATCTGCCAATCTTTCCCTCAATAAAGTGGGCACCAGTGCACATTACAGCAGAATGGGAGCGGTCCAGGGTACATAGAGCAAAAAGAATAAAAAAAATAAACCCATCTCGACCTCAGCATCAAACACCGACTGAGCAAAATAAATTGCAATCGCGCGCAAAATAATAGCATAAGAAAAGTAAGTATTACATAAAATAAATAATAGGTAAAGAAACAATGTTTCCCCCCCTTCCGTTCATATTATATATATATTTTTTTTATTTTATAGGGAGGCAAAATGTTACAAGAAGCTGAGTAAGCAGGGACTCCCCTTTTATTTTCATCTTAGACCGCAGTGCCTCGCCTCGTCACCCGCCCTGCGTTTGAATTACAAATGCAGCAATGCTATGTTCCCTCTGCCATGATATGAGCTGATACGACCATTGTTATGTTGTTTTGCGAAGTCAGTGGTGCATTACATATTTAATGTATTGCAAAAAAAAGTGCAGCCGTGGATACCATTTTGACAGATGTGGGTGTTGTTGCATTCAATTAAATCAAAACGTGTACCCAAACATCGATGTTGTCATACGTGCCTGCCTCAGTACTTGTATAATCTATGCATATTCTAACACATAGCTTTAAAGCTTTGTATAAGTTCAACAGGGTGATGTCTGGTCCGCGTTAAATTCAACTCGCTTCTGTCTGCACTCGATTGGTTTCATCAACTTTGCACACTGACTGTGTACAAGTCGGTGAAACAATTCAAATTCATTGCAGTGACTTGTACGGCTGGCACAACAATGAATATATATATAAAAAATTCGAGCGGACAGCGCTGTCTCCTCAAAATAGATTCATGCCTAACGCCTTTAGATGGCTGGCACCGTGGCAGAACGCTTGACACCCAACTGGAAGTGTGTGAGTTCAAATCCCCGTGAGGGGCTGATTCAGCCCACCCAGTGGTTGTCCGAGGAGAGACTGGCCCCTGCCTTAGAAATGAGGAATTTCCACCACTGGCTCAGTCCTGACATGGAGACAAGCGGTGCCCCAACGCTCGTTTAATTTCTTGGACAATGTCTTTTTTAATCAAATGGCATCACACAAGCGAGGAATGCGAATTCCGCGTGCCTTCACGGCAAGCTGAGATCCGCACGTACAAAAAAGAAGAGTCGCGCGGCAATTAACTCTCGCCAATTTGTACGCCGGCGCTGCGGCCGTGTCCCACACGTTGACTGGAATGCGTGCTCGCCGCTTGTCGTGTGCGCGGGCAGCTGAACGTGGCGAGTCTGGGCTCGTGGGTCATGATGATGCCGTCCCTGCTGACCCTGTTCGCCGTGTGGCCCGTCTCGATGCTCTACTCCCACGTCCGCGTCCAGCTCGCCCACACGCACATCCTGCCCAAGTTCATCATCAATCAGGTCCCTGCAGTTTGGGCATTTTATTTTGTTACCCCGAACCTTTTGCCTTCAGGTTAGCATGGTTGGCCACGTCCCGTGCGAAAAGATGTTCGACATACGTACGTACATACAGGTGATTATCGGCTCACACCGCCCTGTGGGAAGGGCTTAGCGGAGAGACTTCTCGCTGCTTAACTTTGATGCTGCGGTTGTGAGATGTTAACTGCCTTGCCTCGTATGCAGGAGGTCGTGGGTTCAATCCCGATCCTGATGCCTGTATATTTGGAGTTTGCGTGTCTCTCCCCATGGTCGTGTGGATTTTTCTCCGAGTCCTTCAGTTTTCCCTCCACATTTAGAAACATTTACATTTTTTTGCTGCTATAAATGTCCACATGATCAGCCACTTCGTTGCGCTATCATTTGTGGCCAGGTCGCTTCTGAAAAAAAAACCTATATAGCTCAGTGGGCCTTACCAAGTAAAATAAAAAAGAATTTAATTTACTTTTGATGCTGTGAATATAGGATTCTATCTCAGAGCTACCAATCAAGATAGGAGTCACCCTTACTACTCGTTTGGGCAAAAATACGCTGATATTTTGAGAACAATGCCTAAGAGCTCTGCAGTTCAGAGCCTCCTCCATGTCAGCTCTCACGGCTCAGCGCAGTCCATTTAGCCACCTTTTATACCCATTTAATGCTGAAAAGTGTTCAATATTACTTTGCTTTTCATTGAAAGGTTGGTAAGTCTGAAGAGGTGGACTGCAGTGGCACGTGAAGACCAATGCATGGGAAATCCTTCTCGAGCATGCCGAGATCTTCTCAAAGGATTCACGATTTGCTTCACGATCAAATCACCCACATGCCAAATACGCATTCATGGCAATGCCCAAATAATCCAATGAGGGACTCTAATGAAAAAGAGTCTTGAGAGGCAATTACGCTTTCACAGGTGAAGGGCATTAATATTGGATTTGGTCAAATGTCCCTATTTAGGACAAATTGGGATGTTTGGATATTCTTTGGGTCTTTCGGTAAAGTCACGTAGATAGAACCTGAATTTGAAGCTTTCGTGACTGCAGGAATCCATACTCTTTGGTTCTTTCGGCAAAAGTCGCGTTCTACCTATGTGACTTTACCGAAAGAGAGAACCAAAGAGTATGCCACGTAGATAGGTTCAAAGAAAATAACAAAAAAACTACAAGTCAAGATTGGGATGTTTTGAGCTTGCCAAACATCCAATTGTAGGACCACTGAACATGGGCAATTGTTAGCACTGGCTCTGGCTGCTTTTCCGCTTGCCTGTGGTTTACCACACCTCTGTCCGAAAAGTATGCATGTTGCAAATTCGACGACAGTGTTTTGAAATGCAACTTGCATGTATGATGCTATATATGTGTGTGTGTATATATATAACGTTATATTATATCTGGGTTTGATTCCCGATCTAAACCTTTGGTGTGTTTGCTTTCCGGTGTCCCTGTGTATGCGGCGTACAGGCCGTCCTCATCATCACCACACTACAGAGCTCCTGCTTTAACTTTGCGGTGCTGTTCGGTGGCATCAAATGTGACGAGATTCTTCCAGCTCGCAACAAAGGACTCAGTACGTGAACACACGCGCGTGTGAAGACAAATAAGGCAGAAAGGCGGCTGTTACCTACGTCATCTTTTCTACATTTAGAGAGCCAAATGATAGTCGTTTGATAACTAAACCTATAGTTTAACTCTTGATGGATTGTTTAAAGAGGTCACCTTGGCAGACGCAATTGATGCCGCCATCCTCGCAATTGCATCCTTTCTTCCACACGTGGCCCTCCAAGGTGCACGCTTAGAGCACACCGGGTCTAGCTTCAATGTCTTCCCCTTGATCACCAACCTGTGAGCGCCACTCCAATCGTACTACGATTCCAAACAATCTATGCCTCGAGTTTCCTGGCTGGCTGCTGCCTGGGCTCTTTTCTACCCCAACAAAAAAACTCTGTTGTTGTTAGTGGCTGTGGGCTGTTGCCACTGAAGCTAGCTGGGTAACTGGCTAAATAGGATTTTCCGTGTGACGAATAAGCTTTGAAGTGATTTCAAATGGCGGAAGTGCAGAAGACTTAAAATAATGATAATCTGGAGAGCGACACCCAAGAGATAGGGGTAACGAATACTGGCCACGGTTCATTAAAAATTGATCTTACCTCTTAAATGTGTAGTTCTCTTGTAATTATTTTGCAATCATAGATGTTTATTTAAAAGTGGACTTTTTTTTAATTCCACAAACTTTGTTTTGCCTCAATTACAATGTCTGGGCTGGCTTCCTCCACAAATGCTCCTTTACTGGCCATGTTCATAAAGATTTTTTATCTTTATGAGCTGAGGGAATGTTTAAAGAGTTCTGGCCGTATAATAGTCCCACTTTAAAATGTCTATTTTTGTACCACACCTGTTGATATATGCGTCTACACCTTGCAGATTGAGTCCTGTATATATATAGTCATGTAGGCTTTCTTGTGTGTCCTTGAATATATTTGAAAGTGCCAAGATTACGTATCAGAATCTTGCGACATGCAGATAAATGATCTGCTGTGTCAATAGTACTTTGTATATTCTACAATACTTTGTAGATCTAATTATATACATTGTTTATCTAAGATTAGTTTCCATTATCGATTCGCTTCATTGTTGTACTTTTATTTATTTTATTAGTTTTTCTGTTGTCATTTTGCTGATCCTGGTCACTGTCGCAAGGGCGATGTCTCTTGGTCTCCGGAGTTCTCACTTGGTTTAACAAGTGAGCTTTACTTCACTTGGTTCTTTCGGTAAAGTCACGTAGAAGGGAAACAATAAAATAATAAAAAAATATTATTTTATTTATATTTAAAATAATTAAAATATTATTTTATTGTTTCCCTTCTACGTGGTGACTTTACCGAAAGAACCAAGAGTATGAATCCCTGCAGTCACGAAAGCTTTAAATCAAAAGTGAGCTTTACTTCACTTGACTTCATTTTTGTTTGCCTGGGATATCTATTGCAGGCCATCCTTGCGAAAAACTCCGTATGCAATTCACAAATGTTACAATAAAGTACATACATAGTGAAACAAGAACAATTGTAGTGGCAACAGCACCACTCGTTGCGTATACGAAACCTCTCCTCTTTGAAGTCCCTGAATGTCCTGACCCTGTTACGAGAGTGCAGTGTTTAGTAGATACCGTAGGCCATTTGAAATGTTAATATGAGGCCCTATTTGTCATGTGAATATCAGACAGTCTGTGTTATTTTTGGTAAGCCTATAGAGTCGATGGCGATTTGGATTTTATAGAGCTTCTAAATGAGGCCTCATCTGAAAGGATCTCCCGGCTCAGATGAGCGATATGCACCTCTGTTAGTGACCCTAAGTCAGTGGTACAAATCTCACAACGCATTGGCATGGGTCATTTTCTTTTTAGGATGACAATGCTGGAGGGATAAAGAGCTGACTCGATCACCCCGTACTGGGATGTAAACTTAAAACCGTCTGATTGTGAGCCACATGGAGCCACCCGGTCATATTTTACAATTTTTTTATGTCATTCAGTAAAAGTAATGGGTGTTAATTTCGTTTTTTTTTTCTGGCTGCAATGTCCTTGCAGGGCAACATACATTTCTGGCCAAAATAATACTGCCTAATTGACTATGTATTACATAAATACTCGATTTGGGATGGTGGCTTTTTCACATGAATCCAGCCAGTTGCCCGTATAGACAGATGCTGATATGCGTTGATGCCCTTTTGTAGTGGTGATTGTGGAGTTGATGACGTTGAATACAATCCAGTGGACCTCACTGCATCGATTGCATTGTCGTTACAGTACTGCACCAGCACCTAATGATCCTGGAGATGTTCATGTTGGCGCTGGTGACCCGCTTCTACTACAGCAAGGCCATTTCAGAGACCACCACAGAAGACGACGCCTGTAAAGTAATTACGCCCTCCCAGCAAATGGAGAAGATGGACGTGTGAGAGGCAATCCAGACGTACGTCGAGAGGCAGTCACGTGACATGGTTGGCTTTGGCTCTGGTTGGTGCATGCAATGAAATGGGGGCCCCTGTCCACCTTTTACCACCCACCCCCAGTACCCATTTTGCGGCCTGTTGCCTCGGCCCCTCTGGTATAGTCCTCGGGTGGGAGAGTAATTGTAGCACCTTCCCACTCGATAGATCCGCCACTACTGTCTCGATGCACAGTGGAGTTTTGAATCTGTGTCCACTGCATTGTAGGTTGGGTAGCCAGATAATCGCCATCTGTAAAATCTAAACTGCTCAGCCCACAATTGTTGGACCAGCCTACCTGACTGCTCTTTTCAGATGTGTAATCGTATAGATTTTCCACTGCCATAGATCCTCTTTGGAAGGTAAATTTACTTGTAAGATAAACCAATGAGGCAATGAGTCGAACATTCTTGGCCACTTTGTGCAATTTTACGTAGCATTTTTATATTTGTTCAACATTTTTTTTCCCACGGCCATATCACGAAACTGTTTATAAACAAATGACTGCACCTTAAGTATGGTAGATTGTGTGGAATTGTATGGTACAATTTGGGTCTCGAACTAGAATAAATAATGGAGTCTATAGAAGTAAGAATGAATAAGCAATTTAAAACATGAACTATTTAATGAATATTTTGGCATAAAATTTAGCCCAAGATATAAATTAGTTATTTATATGGGCCTATGAAATATAGACATTTAATTGCACTGGCAATAAAATGTAAAATACTGTCGGATTAACACATGGGCAGTTTGAGTTCACGATGAACTAAACGTGTCTTATTTAATTCATATTCATGCCATTAATCACTTAAAATATGTTTTATGTGATTGATAATAAAATGTGAAAACATTTGTATATGCTGTACATAGTAGTCTGGGAAATTATGTGATAATGTAAATGATGCATTAAAAACAATAAAATATTGTATATATTTACCAAAAATTGTTATACGTATTCCTACTCTGCCCTGTTGCATGTCTACAATAATATTCATGAGTGACCAAACGAAATGAAATGCAACATTTGGGTTGAAATTATTCATGCTGGAATTTATAATAGTGTAATGTATTGTACAAATATTTCATTTTATATGCTGACCTTATATTGTGCTTTAATTTGTTTGGTATATTTAATAATTTTAAATGTCTCGACATGTATTCTATGAAGGCCAGGATAAGCAAATGCACACTTTATGATAACGGATGATGGGTCACTTGAAAGAAATGTTTTATGTTCCTGAAAGCTACTGATAGCCAAACAGTGACATACACAGCACATTTATAAGCAAGCAACTCCAAAGATGTGTTCTTCATTATATTTAATGCTGGTTATGACTGCTATGCCTGCTGCTGCTGCTTGCTCTGTACTGGGACACTGGTTTGAGTATTTGTTTCAAGAGTGCACAAAAACACACCGTGAACGTCAAGCATATCAAAAGCCAAATGTGTCCCAATGCTCAACTGTGTGCTAAGCAGTGCTGGTCTCTCTTGGTGACACTGAGCCAGTGGTGGTGATTCCACATTCCGAAGGCAGAGGCCGGTCTGTCCGTGGAACAAGCAACTGCTGACTCCCCACAAAGTGGTCATTTATTTTCTCGACTTCAGAGGGATGATGAGTTCAAATGAGTTCAACTTGTGGTCCTCCAACGATAAAGGCTTGAACTCACGACGGGTTCTTTTTTTTTCCATCCTTGTGAGTTCGGCGGCACAAACAAAGGGCCACCCTCTCGGATGCCCCAAGGACACGGCCGCTGTAAATCGAGCGCGGTGTCATTCGGACGGGTTATTACAAGGCAAGCGTTAACAGCAGGCGTGACAGTCGCTTGCTTGCACTCATCACGAGCGGAGCGGCTTGGCGGTGGGGTTCACCGTCCTCGGTTTGCATGATGGGGGGGGGACGCGAGGACTTCCGTTTGGTTCGTTGTGGACACCACCGCCGATTTGCGTGGTGTGTTGCCACGTGCTATGATGCACCGACGATTAAAAAAAGTGCCACCACGCTCCCCCCAGCGAGTGTGCAGCGCCACTTAGAGGCATTGAGCCTGCAGTGGAAATTCCACATTGCTACTGCGTCGGCCTAATCTTTCCAGATGACAACCACTATCGGTTTCCAACAGAGTAGTGCATTTTAATAAAAAAAAAATTATAAGTTCCTATCCACAAATGACCCTTCAGTAAGATCACTGGACTTATCTTAATAGCAAAGTACAATGAATACGTACATTAAGCAAACTCGTAATAGCTGTTTATAACTGTAACAGTCAACCCTCTTTGCGCAAGTTCTGCATTCGCGAATTTCGCAGATTTGCCAGTTACTAAATGTATACGAATTCCATATTCGCGACCCGCCAGACTCCACTGTTCGCGAATGAACGCCAGTGCCTACAGACCGCTGACACCGGGGTGGGTTGGTGTGTGCAGAATGTTGTTACATTTGAAACGGTCTGCGAAGGTTAGGCAAGGCCCCTTGCAGCTGCCCGCCGAGTCCTCAGTTCTCGCTGTAATCCCGCTCTGGACTCGTTATATACGTGTTGGTTTAAACGAGTCAACTGAGACTCATTAAAAAGATCGCGAATGTAATCAGGGAAAGTGTTGCGGATAGCGTTCCCCAGAGTGCTAGAATGATAATAACTGTGCGTTGTTATCAACACCTGCATGTCCCGAGGAGTCATCCTCCGTCACCACCACCTCAATTGTCGTCAAATCATCATCATCATCATCATCAAAGATAATACAAAATACACATTCTTCTTGATCATTGATTTATTGTAGTAATTGTTATTAAACATTTACCATTTCCCCACTATGTTCACCCGTATTAGGAACGTAACCCCATCTTCCTATTGAAGCGAGGTTTCTCCATTCGCGAATTCTGAATTCGCGAGCATTTCCAAGAACGTAACCCTCGCGGATACAGAGCGTTTACTGTAATTGCAATTCGTATTACACGATGTAAACATTGGTTTAACTCTGGTTTGTGTTATTGATTGATGTAATGTATTAAAAGGCAACTAACGTCATGTGATCTTGAACGACAGGATATAAATGTATCTTCGGTGATGACATGAAGCAGAAACATGGAATGCTGACAAAATAAGGGACACATGCGAAACGTGTGGCACGGATGGATATATCTGCTTGGAATTACACTGGCAGATAGAAGGAACTCTGGGATCAGGAAACAAATATAAATTAGAGGCATCATATTGACCGAAATAAGGAAAGTAACCGGGCTTTGGATAGGACACATTTCTAGAAAGGATGATAGCCAACTGATGAGACTGGTGGCAGAAGGGAAACCGTAGGAAAGAGCCTGCCTGAGAGGACAACCAGTCCGTGCGCAATAGAGAAATGGATTGCGACAAGGCAGGATCGTGAAGGAAAGATGGTGATGACTTTGGGGTTGCCTTCATCCAGCAGTGGACAGAAATTAACTGATGAAAAGTATTATTCAAACTGGGTTGGAAGCACATTGAAAGAATTGATCTCTTGTTCGAGGAAGACCGTGGGAAATGGACCAGCGATTATGGATATCATGACACATCAACACGGCAAGAACATGTTACACAATTTGCAGGAATGTGAAATTTGCCTGTCTATACAAAGGCCATGTAAGCCAGAATGTAAAGTAATACTCTGTACGTTGTATATCTTTACTGGCAGACAGATACATGCACTCAGGAAGGTTAAGAGGACACGGCGTGGTTGGTAATGACTACAATAAAGTAATTGCACTATCTTTGCCCTGATGCTCCACATAGATGCAACATTATTTATACCACTAGTAGTGGGAAGGGGGACTGTTAAGGGGCAGATTAAATGCAATGATAAAAGCGATTGTGATAAGACACTGATAAGTGATAAGTCTATACTTACAACCCATTATTAGCACCATAACGCCAAGGCACCTAAAGTCATGGTTTGAACTTTAATCTAACCCGGTGGTCAGAGGTAAAGCTCGTTGCATAAGTGGCGTGGGCATTTGAACTCAGCAGACAACACTTTTGCCAAAGTAAACAAGAAGAGGTGAAAGTCACATCATCAACGTGGCCATTATGTGGACGGTACCACTGCCGTATAACAACACATATATGCCAAGGGAATGTGGAATTTACACCAATGGCTCAGGTTCACCAATAGGAAAGAGCAGCAATGCATATGTCTGGAGCAGGAAAATAGGGTGATATTCTTATTTAGGCCGCAATTGGTGAGCGCTTGCATAATTAGATCTATTTCCACGAAGTAAAATGGCTTTTTTTTGTGGGCAGCATGGCTGGGGCTAGGGCAACATTGGGCTGCGCACTGCACCACCAAATGCCCTTTTGGGCCAACAAATCTCTTTCTGGGCCACAAAATGCCCTTTTGGGCCACCCATGTTCACTTTCCTTCGCTGTAACGTCACTGCTTGTAACGTCACTGCCTTTTTTGCTTGCATTTTGACCACAAGTATCGTGGTTAATGCAGACACGATTCCTTGTAAAAGGTTTCAGTTTGGTGTTTTAACAACTTAACACTTGTTTTGCTGCCAGATAAAAAGGGGAAAACCCTATTCTCATATTTTGGTACTGGCAAAGGAGGTCCCATGATGTAACGTCACTGTTATGGTCGTGGCCCAGACAACAGCAGTAGTCCTGGACTAAAATGCCCCGTCCGAAAGGAGCTGCAGTGGAGCCTGCTGGGCAATAGAGGGCAGTGTAGTGAAACCAATTTCTGTTCAGGGCTCCCACCGATACCAACCCGCCAATGGTCTGCGTGGTGAAGTATGGTTATTTATGTATGTTGAACTTATTTCGCAGCGTACGCAGCTAACCGCGCCAATAGGAGGTGCGGGGAAAAGACAATAAACTGAACGCAAAAAGTAGTTCTGAATAAATTAGTTTTCCAATTTTAATTTCAAAGTACGTCGCTGCAGTGGCTTCCTAATATCGGAAAGAAAGAGCGTTCCAGACGGCCGCAGAAGTGCCTCTGAAAGCGCGCGATGCGGTGACCGCCGTCTTTGTTCGATGGCCCAGCCAGAAGCCACTGCGAGGATGACCGGAGTTCACGTGATGGTTCATGTTCCTTGAGAAGATCAGCGAGGTTAAATGTCCCCCATGGCCCGGGAAGCCATGGGGGAGGCCGTCATCAAGCAGTGGATTGGCAAATGGACCGTACGTGTAGAGCGCCTAAGCATTATGGTATTTGATGTTCATCGGAATTTTTTTTTTAAATATCCGAGGGATTATGAAACTGGAAAACACAATAGATTATGTATCCCTCGGGCAGCTATGGAAGGGAGCCTGGGGTCAATATAATTAAACTTAGAGCTAAATGAGAGCTGGCTGGAGTTCATTTGGATAACAGGCCTGAATAATTATAATAATGCTAAAGTCACGTAGGTATAAAATAAAATAAATCACGACGTTTCGGGTGCAACACAAGCACAACACAAGCGTCCGTCATCAGGTGGGAAAGCTTGTGTTGCGCCCGAAACGTCGTGATTTCTATTTGAAGCTTTCGTGACTGCAAGGATTCATCTTCTTTGGTTCTTTCGGTAAGGTCACGTAGAATGAGAATAAAATAATAAAATAACACAATAAAATTCTCACGTTTCGGCCACAACGCAAGCGGCCGTCTTCAGGTGAAAGGTACAGACCTGTCGGGACGACAGAGCTCCATTGACAAGCCGTGCGAGATCGTCCCGACAGGTCTGTTCCTTTCACCTGAAGACGGCCGCTTGCGTTGTGGCCGAAACGTCGTGAGAATTTTATTGTGTTATTTTATTATTTTATTCTCATTCTACGTGACCTTACCGAAAGAACCAAAGAAGGTCGTGATTTCTATCATTTTATACCTACCACGTGACTTTACCGAAAGAACCAACAAGTACGGATTCCTGCAGCCACGAAAGCTTCAAATCAAGATGACAATAATGCTGCTACGGCACCGGCAGTGGCTCACAAAGAT